TCTGCGAATCGACAAAGAAAATATTATCCACTCTATCTTCTATTCAAAATATAATATTAATTAATTTCTATCAAACCATTTCACAAGCTAATAACTTAGGATTTTGAAAGTGCAAAGTACTAAATAAACAAGACACACATATGTAGGCCTTATAGAAATTATTACAAAAACGTCGCATTCAGTGAAGTGCATTGCAAAGATAATTCAACGAAATAGACATTCCCTGAACAAGAGAAAGAAGATTTATATGTTAAAGCAGGGTGAACACTAACGATATTTATCACCGACGAGAATCTTGAGTGAAATTTCAAGTGTGCCTTCTCTTCCATGACAAGAGGCCAACAGGCGTTTGAACAAGTTTACTTATATTTATTTTACTCATATACGAGTTCATTATGGGACGTTTGGAATCTTGTTAGCATGTTGGTAAGGTCTGAAATTCCAATCGACAACCAAAAACGACGTTAGATTCAATTTTCAAATTTAGTCAGAGATGAACATTTTTATATAATCCCTTTAATTTGATAACAGGATGTCCCATGTCGTTTTTTTTTCAAGTATTCATCATATTGTCATACATGTAAGAATTCTATTTAACTATTCATTAAGTATTATGATGGACTGACAAAGAAGGTTATGACGCCCACATTACAGTTTTTTTTTCATTTCCAAATATTGCTAAACATCCCAACTTGGACCAAATTTGTCATTTCATTTCGCTCGTAACCCCAATAATATCGATACCCTCCTTCAGGAGTCACCTGATGTTAATTCCAATGGAATTTTGAAAAATGGCAAACATATATAATACCATTTAGCACTGCAAAAGTAATTCGCGAATCGCCAACCAGAACGTAACCGCCGCCTATTTAAGTCACGTGACATATACGCTTGACTAGCAATTCGCCAATTCGGTTCTATTCAGTCTATATCAAAATAATTTTCAGTTGATTTGCACCGGCAAATAAACCTATTCGGTTATTGCCAGAAGTTATGCAGATAGAAATATCTTCCTCCAGAAAATAGGCAGTACGAAAACAAACAAGAAGTTATCCGGGGTATCAGGTAAATATTTACTTTAGAAGGGCGTTACCTGTTTACGGTGATGTTAATAATGTAAATACTTAAGATAAGGTTGCAGTGAGAAAGCAAACTCAAATTGAAGTTGAAATGAATCGTATTTTTCTATTCGGTTATTATTGGCCGCTTTTGCGATAGCGACGTCATTTGAGACTAAGCATTTCTATAATTTCAAAAAACCGAAAACGTCTGACTGAAAAATGATTCAAATAGAAGACATGAAAGGTCCCAATATACATTTAACACGTAGAAAATTTAGCAAGACAACAAGTCCTTAAAGAGTGTATTGGGTGGAGTATCTTTAAATTTCAAAATATAATCTTGATTATAATGATTACCCTTAAACATGGCTAAAAGGAAAACGAATACCCATTCACAAAAATATAATCTTGATAACACTGATAACTTTAGGGGATAAATTAATTTAGATAAAGTTTGGTTTTTGCTGAAATATTGATGCAATGTCTAATTTACATGGCGTAATCTTCGTTAACAATGACAACGGATAGTTGGTTTGTGCTTTATTCGAATTGCATAAATTTGTCGACCATTGATAGTTCTACTTTGTGAAATATTACGTATATGGATCATGATTTATAGAAATTGATCATACTTGAATGGAAAATATTAGGCTGATTTGAATTTAATGTGGTACTCTGATAAATGTTGATGAGTTCTATTTCAAGACTGTTTTGATCAGAAAATCGGAGAAAATATATATTTAAGATGTTGAATCTCTGGGTCAGAGTGCATATTGATTAGTTGAGATAAATAAGCTGTCATGAAATTTTCAGTTGCGTGAAGCTATAACCTTTTTGACGACCGCTCATTGCATTCAAGGGCTATACTATCTTTGTAATTATAATATGCAACTTCGTACTCATTGTAATAGCCTAGACATTATACTTTCAATATTTTAAAAAAAGTTGTGACAATTTACTTTCCAAAAGCAACATCTACATAATGTTATAATTTTTCGTCATCGGTCGCATCAAGAGCGGCGTACTAAACAATTTATATCACTTAGCTCATAATAATCTGTAAATTTTCTGAAATCTTATCGTCGACTAAGATATTTATCCTCTATTCCTAAAGAGAACTCACAACAAGTATGTTGTCTTCTAACCCCTTCGTAGTTGCAAAACGATTGGCGGAATCGATTACAAAATCAGCTGCGTTCAAGACGATATATGAATTTGCATTTGTAGGAAAAGGTTTCAGAATAGGGAGGCGGTTCATAGAAGAGGTATTATGTTATATGACCATTGGCTAGGAATGTCAAAGTGGTTTGCCATTGAAATTAGTGAGTTTTCTATCTTGGGTGTTATTTTCAACCAGCGCATTCAATGAAATCTAACTGTCAAAAGTAAATCATTTTGTCTTTTTAACTCAAAAGTATCATGTTTGTAAATGTAAAGTTAAAAAACTGATAGAAAATAAAACAATATAAAAAGATAGTTAAAGGTGAGTTGTTTAGACCAAAAATAGACATGTTAGGCTCGAACAGGAGACATACGCGGTTTGCCTGAAAAGTTCGAAACCTGGGTGGGATATCTCAATCAGATTTAGACAAATTTTTGCCACTAACATATTTAATGAATCACAGACAAAAAGAGTTGTAAGAAGTGTTATTTCTGTCTTTGTACCAGACCATCTTGTGATCCTAACCATCTGCAAAGCTCTAGACATCGGATCAGAAACTTATTTGACTGGCCTAGACGTTAGTCCATAGTGAATTTCTGCTAATAATACATTTATGTGTTCTAAAATGAATATTAAGAGTGCTACAAACAGATTTAGATAATATGAAAATGATTTGGATGCCATCTTGGATTTCAAGACAATTTATGCATTTCACATAAATGGACTTCTATGGATTTTCATTTTTGGACGGAAGGAATCATGTTCAACCAGATTTAAAAAAAAAGCAATTTGTTTTGAGTTCACTCCTATGTTGACTAAACTACTACAAGAAGAGACAATTCGGTATGAGAAATACACATAGCCTAGATCACCATTAATCATCATCGTGCCCATACCACTCCCCCATTCGTCATACTTCCTAGTTAATAAGGCAATGTATGTAAAAACCCGTAAGCTTGTGCTTCGTTTTCTTTAGTCCTTGTTTGCTTGAATTAAAGATTTATTGTTTTCTCAATAATCACTATAAACACAAGTAACTTTTTTTTATATCAAATAATGTACATTTTCGATTAACATACTATAACAAAACTCATCTATAATTCTCATTTCATCTATAACATTATTAATTTAAAGAGTTACATCCCTTATAACGGCGTTAAAAAGCAGAATTTTTTAAACGGTTTTAAAGACGTAAAAAGATATTTATGCTCATCAGGGAATATTACAAATATTAACACATGCAGTCTATTTGGTTTCATTGTATAATTTATTGAGAAATATTGCACACCCTGCAACTATTGTGATCATTACTGCTTGATTTACTTTATACCTCTATCATAACCAATGTTTCAAGGCCTACTCTTGAATTGAGGTAATTTTCATTACTGCTCACACAACCCCAATTAAAATAACATTTCCTTGCCCTTACCAAATGCTTTTATAATATGTTTGTTCCATTTTTAAAATCTTTGTCCCAATAAAACAATAACAATACTATAGATCAGAAACGGATAATGAATACTTTAAACATATTATACCTGCTAAATAGTGATGTAAGGGATACAGTGATTCCGAATTTTTTTTATATAACATAGGATAATTAGAACTGAGATAGTCAAATATATTTAAGTAAGAAAACACATCATTTTGTAATCTGTTCATATGGATTTTCATTCACATAAGCAGCTCCTAATGAACTGTAATGGTTAACATTTGATTGTCCAGTTGAATCATTATTTACTACATCATTGATATATATGTGACCAGTTGGAGGCGTTGCAGTGTTTGAAATGTTGGAAGATGTAATCGCATACACTACTGGTGTTTCTTTGATACTAGAAGATGTAGATGGTGTTCTGAAGAAGAAAAGTGTTAATAGCGGGTGAAAATATATGAAGTGTCGCTATGGAAAAGACAGGTATACACTTTAAACACAATTGATAAAATTGAAAGATCTCAGAGGTAAGCTCGTGCTTATTATTAAATACTTTACCTTTTTCTTAAGTACACACACACACCAACGATTATTATTACCAATAGAATAATAATCCCAATTAGAACTCCTATAATTATGGAAGTTTCATCATCATCAGATTCTGTAGGTACTGCTAAACAAATAACATGATAGATTGACATTGACAATGCCGAATGAGTTCTGAGATATTTTACATTGTATCCAAAAGAAATGATATCCAATTACTCCCATCCCCGTTTCGTCAATACTGGATAAAATTGGTTGTATTTGTTGACCAATCATGTGCAGTAGGCTGTAAACCTCCCAATTCAATTCAATATTTAATGATGAAACTGGGTTCGTAAGAATTTTTTTTGTAAATCTAAAGTAAATGGATTAACATTTTTTTAGATTGAACAAATCATAATATCTAGATCTGGTCTTGAAAAACCTTAAAATGAGATACAAACTTTTGTTTCTGTATTTTTATTAGCCTAATAGAGCATGGTAGATTTAAGCTTTAAGGTCTTATTTCTTTGTATCTTGGTCCTGACCCGATGACCCGTGCTTTAACCAATCAAATCAACTTGGCTAAGACAGAACTGCCTATAAAAATCATCTTTCAACAATGTTCAATTTCAGTGATAAACTTCTGCTCTTCGGAATGCACCTTTTGTCGCTTCACAGTGCTAGGGAGGGAAGAAATAAGATTGGCTAGCCAATCTGATGAATGATATATATCTATTATAAAATACGGAATAAAACTTTGGTCTTATAATGGACTGATAGACTTCATAATACTAAGTACATGTGACATTTTCTATCAAAAAGATAAACCTAACTTTCCTTCAACAACATTAGGAGATGAACTGGAACTGTGACAGTCTGCACCACTATAACCATTTACACAATCACCATTACAGCTACCATCAACTTTACTACAAACTGTACTGTTATTTATACAATTTCTCTCTGAACATTTCTTACTACAGTTTACACCATAGAATCCATCATCACAAGCTATAAATATTAGATAATACAACAAACAAATTTCGTATCGCCGAATACAAAACACAAATAAATGGAACCAAAAGGACAAAATATGAAACCTGAATGTAAATAATATCAATATATACATGTATAACACTTTTTTATGCCAGATTTTGATTTTTCACTACACGGTTATTAAATAATATCAAATATAAGTCTCAAAATCACCTTGTTGTATCTCCTTAATATCCATTGAAGACATGTGTAAAACTATCCTGTTTTAGTCAGAAAAGCAAATACATATTTGTATTCAATTCCAAACTAAAAGCCTTAACCATTAGGTTATATTTTCAGCTTTAATATTCGTTAGCAAGCTACCTTGTATTCTGATAAAAATGTCCAGGTACAAATCATTCCTACCATTAATATCATTATATATTGTACTTACAATATTATATTTACCATGTGCACAGTCAGTTGTTATAAAACCTGATTTACAACCATCAATATATCAACCATTAATATTATTACATACTATATCGTATTTAGCTTGTGAACAGTCAGTTGATATAAAACCTGATTTACAACGATCAATATATCTACCATTAATATTATTATATACTATATCGTATTTACCTTGTGTACAGTCAGTTGATATAAAACCTGATTTACAACGATCAATATATCTACCATTAATATTATTACATACTATACTCACTATATTATAGTTACCTTGTGTACAGTCAGTTGATATAAAACCTGATTTACAACGATCAATATATCTACCATTAATATTATTATATACCATATCGTATTTACCTTGTGTACAGTCAGTTGATATAAAACCTGATTTACAACGATCAATATAACATCTACCAGTAATATTAATATAAACTGTACCCACTATACTATATTATATTTATCTTGTGTACAGTCAGTTGATATAAAACCTGGTTGACAACCATCAATATAACATCTACCATTAATATTATTATAAACTGTACTCACTATATTATATTATATTTACCTTGTGTACAGTCAATTGATATAAAACCTGGTTGACAACCATCAACATATCTACCATTAATATTATTATAAAATGTACTCACTATATCATATTTACCTTGTGTAATATGACTTTCAGATATAGACAATGATAATGGTATTACATTGACTGCATTTAATCATACATTACTACATTCCATTACCTTGTGTACAGTCAATTGATATAAAACCTGATTTACAACCATCAGCACAAGTACCATTCACACTATCACAATTTTGATTCTGTAAACAATTTCTATTTGAACAGATTTTCGAACAGTTTTCGCCGTAAGTGCCCTCGGGACATTCTGAAAAATTATTCACATGCTCAAATGATTTTTCAGCAAGTTATTGATACGAGATTTATTTATTTGTGTCAGAGTCTTAAGAACAGGAACTATGATTATGTCGTGTCTCCCAATGGACACTAATATTATTTCAAATAGCCACGCTACTGGCATATGTTCACTTTCCGAAAACTCTCCATAACACATTTTGAATATCGATGAAGAAGTGCATACAAGAAATTATATCTTGATTATCCTTTATGTTATCTTACAAGTATTGTATTGTTTATTTGCTGGCTCTTTATAATAAAAAGATACAGTACTTACGTTCTGAGCAATCAACACCACTAAAACCAGGTTTACAACCTTCTGTACAATTCCCTGTGATATGATTACATTCAGTGGAACCATAACAATTTCTATCATCACAGAGTCTCTTACAGTTTATACCATACATAGTCGTATCACACTCTATAAGATATACATTTACTTATTGAATGAAACGAAACGACACAAATTGTGAATTTCTAAACTAATATTCACAAAGCTTAGAACAATGGCCCTGAGTTAAGTAAAGCTAAACGTGTCATACCAATAGGAAACTTGCTATGATTTTTAATTCATAATTAAGCAGTCAAATATATGTATGAGTTTTTTTTGTCGATACAATACTTACCCTGGTCACAAAGTTCAAATTTAAAACCTGGTTTACATCCACCGATACATGTACCATTGATATGGTTACAGTTTTGATTTAAACAGTTGAAAGGGCAAGTTTGTAAACAATTGTTACCATAAGTTCCAGTCGGACATGCTGTAAATACAGAGACATAATCATTCTGATAGTAGATCGTAAGTCACAGTATAGATACGAAAGCCAACCCGGCTTTCGTACATAGATGTCATAATATGAATACAAATCTATAATATATCTTCAATGGGAGCAAGAAATCATTTCTAAGTAATCAAGTCGTAACATAAATAATACAGATATGAGTTCGGACAATGTCTAAAAGGTTTGAAGATATCGTAAGGTCGATAGAATCCTCAGAAGTTTTCTCTCATGAAATAGACTTTCTTTATGATATCTGGTATATTTGCCACATTTCTTGCGTAGATCACGACCCTCGTTATTTTACCTTGTGTGCAGTCTGTACCATTATATCCTGTCAGACAACCATTATCACACCTCCCAGTATCAGAATTACAAGACTGTTGGGATCCCGAACAATATCTTTCATCACAATTTTGACTACAATTCAAACCATACCTTCCTTCTATACAAGCTACAATAGAATTAGAAATAAACCAATTTAATTTAGAACGTTGGATAGCAAAATTATTCGTTACGTAGAGTATTTAGTGAGCTACTCTGCATCATTGGAATCGCAATGTAATGCGTTGCCAGCATTTCAGATTTATAAAGACATCAATTTAGTAAATGTACCCATGTAAAGTCAGAGTAGATTGTTAATCATTTTATAAAACATACTCTGATTACAGCTCGATCCAGTATACCCTGGTAAACATCCCTCAGTTGAACATTCTCCTGTTACAGCATCACATGATACATCATCTTCACAATAACAAAACTTTTTACACTCTTCACCATATGTTCTATTGGAGCATACTGTAATATAGTGATATAAACAATAACATTATCTTTACAATAATACTTTATTTACAGAAACAAAACTTCTCACACACAGCACCATAATTATGTGGAGCATACAGTAAAATAGCAAATATTTACAATAACATGATATTTACAATAGCAAAGCTTCTCACACTCTTCATCATATGTTCTATAAGAGCATACTGTAACATAAAAATATTCACAAGAACTATGGTATTATCCTTTATGATAATATAATCTGGCAACACTGCATCTGATATTAAAAATGTATGCTGGCAAGAGGGGGCTGCGGGAGTTATGGACCTTGGCTTGGAGTGGAAAGGATTGTTATTTGAAATCATTCATAAGTCTATGAATCTATACATTAATTTAATTTAAACATGAATAAAACATTTGTATTCAAATCAGCTTATTATAATGGCGACGAGGACTAAAGGCTCAAGCAGTGAATTTTCGTTTATTCAAAGAAAAACATTCAACTAAACAAACATTTTTTGTGACCACCTTCACACTATTTTACATTTTTTGAACAAAATGGCAGTTGACAACGAATCTTAACTTAATTCAACGCCTTATTTTGATCCTGAAAAGCACCCGAAAGACACTCAAGGCTTTCACGGAATTTGTCATATGCTTTGAACTACGTTATGATGCCCAATATCCGGATCCACCAAAAAATAACAAAACTTCTCACTCTTCACCAAAT